CCAGGCTCTGATCCTCAGAAGCTGTGTGAGTCCATCTGATGAATGTTTGCAGTGTTTGTTGTTTTAAGCCCTGAGTTTCTGGTAGTTTGTTACACAGCAATAGATAACTAATATGCTCAGAAAGTAAACTATTTGAATCCACTGCAGAGCACACCAGAACTCTTTAAGCTATAGCTCCATAGTTGCCCTCTAAGAGGCGAGAGGAAAATATGACAGATGTGTATTCCCTACAATAGTCTGGCAGCCTTAGAGCAAGGCATCCTGCCTCCTCCTCTCAGGTACCATCACGCGGATCCCAGGTGGTTGGTTGTCTGCTCAACAACTAACAGTGACAACACTGTCTCAAGGCAGCAGTTGGCCATGGCTCTTTTTGCTAAGATGCTTTAGCACAAAAAGCTTTCAATATTATTTTAAAGCTAGAGTCCCGGTGCATGAGTTTGTGCATGGGTGGAGTCCCTCAGCATGGCCAGTGATTGGGGCCCATTGGGGCCGTCTCGCACAGTCCCGGTCAGGGCCCCTCAGGGCCAACCAGCTGGCGGAGAGGCACCAAGGGAGATTGGCCAGCCACAAGAGATTGGCTGTGGGAGTGCACTGACCACCAGGGGGCAGCTCCTGCATTGAGTGTCTGCCCCCTGGTGGTCAGCATATGTCATAGCTACTGGCTGGTCATAAAGTTCGCTTAGGCTTTTATATATATAGATCATGGTCCCTTAGAACTGAAAGGAGGACAAAAGTCCCCATCCCTGTTTGTGAGCATACAATGCAAGTTTAAATCCATGTCCACAGTGCAAGCCCATCTGAGGCAATCAACATCTCTTTGGGGCTACAATGCTTACACTTGGGGCAAGGACACAAGCTGTATGGTCAGGAGGATGGAGCAAGTCTGTGAACGTTTCATCAAGCAGCTGGAGCTATCAAGATGGGCCACCTCTGGATTCGTTGATATGTGAGATTAATCAATGGCTCTGGTTTAGCCACTGTAGGCAGCCTCCTGTCACCTGCAGCAAAACACAAGCCTGATATGCCTTGAGGGTGAGAGTCCAGCTAAAAATAGTCATGCTTTCCAAGTCTTCCTCAAATCACTAATAAGAATCTTGTCAGATAAGTAAAAAGCACAGTTGAGATGGAGGCTGAATGGCAGAAAACGGCAGCAAAACAAAGCAGGTGACTGCTTGGGAGTGGAGGTGGGTGGCTCTTCTTCACCTTTTAATCAGCACTGCACTGGGTTGTCCTGCTTCTTCCCACTCCCTTCTCGCCTCCCCCAAAGAAGTTTGAAGAAAGCTAAAGCGTTTAAATGCATAAAACCCACTAATGTACCACCTGAAAATAAGATCTAATCTCTCACTGAAGCATCTTTCTTAAATAATTTTTTTCAATCTGTCATAATCCTTTTTATTTCCGTTAAACATACCTGACCTGGTTGACTAGCAGGTTGAGCTGCGATCCAAAAGCATGAGCGCAAGAAGTTAAAAAGCACTTATTTAAAAAATGGAAAGCCCACGTGATGTATTATTCACCAAGTGCAAAAAGCCACAGGCATTGCGAACCCAGCCATCACGGTTTAAAAGGCATTCATTCTCACATCATTCTCTGTGCTATTCTCTTCACCCACTATGCTCTTTTCCACTCCCTTCCAAGCCTTTATACAGTGCCTTCTGGAAAATTCCATGGATCGTGCCTTAAGCCAGGCTCCCTGAGAAGGCTGCTTGCTTCCCTCAGACTCCTTCAGCCACACCCTTCACGGGGCAGGTTGTGCGAGATCTGGCGTCCCTCACTCACGGGAAGACAAACTAGCATTGCTTCCTGATCCATTCATTGGCCATCCCTTCTTCCCCTCCTGTCTGCTCCCCTCCCAACCACTGCGCTTACCACTGAGAATCCTGGCACCTGGCTCAGCTTCCACCCCAGGTCCTGGTGGTCATCCTGAGGACTTACTGTCCCTTGACCTCCAGTCTTGCCGGCTCCAACCTACTGTCCCCACGACAGCCAGCAAGATACTTGAAAAACGCAAACCTACCATCTCGCCCCTGCTCCCGGCACTTCACTGGCTTCCCAACGCTCTCAGGTTAAAATCCAATCCCTAGTCCAGTCCCCCACGCCTTCAGGACTGGCCCGACTCCCCTGGCCGTCCTGGACTCGGCCATGCTGGCCTTCTCCTGCCCCCATCCACCTGTCTTCTCTGTATTCCCGAGTTAGGTCTCCACGGAGATGTCCATTCTAGGGAGGCCCATCTCCCACAAATACCAAAACCCAGTCCGGGTCGGTACCTGTGCTCAGGGGCACCTGTTATTTGCCTTCAGTGTCCTCCCAACGACGGCATGGGCCAGCAGGGCAGGGACCACTCCTGTCTCCACCCACTGAGCCAAACCAACCCATGTGTTCGGACTTCGGTCCAGCTGTCCACCGGGCCACGTGTGTCCACCGCGTGCTCTTCCCCATTCGGTTCAGCTCACCCTTCCCACTTGCATCCTCGGGGACCCAGGCTTCTGCCAAGGGGAAGCCTCACAGCCCCTCAGGACCCAGGGGGCTCCCTCGCCTCCTGCATTCCGGGGGGCGGGGGGGTCACCGGTTCTTCTATCAATCCAATGACCAACTCCTGCGCTGTGCTGTTCTGCTTGCCCCGCGTGTGAGGCATGTTTTCCCAGCCAAGACGGAGGCATTTCAGAACCCAGTGACTTGCCCATCCCGGAGGCTAGAAACGTGCTTATTGATCAGTGCCCAAAGGAAAGCCCCTTATCAGCCTGGAGATGCCGAGATCCCACTCCTGCCCGAGCTCCCCGGGCTGGGAGATCACGCGGCCACACCGTCACCCTGGCCGGGGCTACGGCACGAAAACCACGCCAGTGAAGACACTTCTGGGTCAGATACAAACTTCACGGGCAGAGGGGTCCTCGCCTCTGCCTTGATTTCAAGGGGACGGGAGCCATCGTTACACTCAGTGGCAGGGACTCCGGGACCAGTTCAGGGAGGAGGGAAGCACGAGGAACCGGGGCGCAGGGGACTCGGGGGTCCGGGGTCCGCGAGGCGCTGGGGGGAGCCAGCGAAGTCCC